AGGACGGGATGATGGATCTAGTGGCTCGTCGTTGTGTGTTTTAATTGAATTGCTAGGTTGATAGTAATTCAGATTAGAACGGGTTAGGTTGTTGGAATATTGGTTGACTGTTTTGAATGATTGGTTAAATTGATAATGGAATTGTTTGGTCTGAAGGTTTAGTTTGATTTCCGCTGGTTATTTGTTGACTTGTGAAATTGATTGGATTATTGAGGATTATCATTTATGGGAATGATAATCTGATTCAATGTAAAAAAAAAAAAAAGGGTCGGGTTGTTTCACATATTTTATTTGCTATTTTCATTTTCATATTGCAAACAAAATCATATTTTTGTCTTAATTTAGTTTCACTCTTAAAGTTTGGTACTGTGATATTTGTTCCTCAAGTGGATTTGATTCCTATATTGCTACAACATTTGTTGTGCACTTACAGTAGTTTATATAGAGCTAAAACTCTCTATACGTGATTTATTTAGCCATAAGTTATGATATCACCAGGAACTTTGATCTCTTTGATCATATTTGACAAAGATGTTGCCTCATCGATTTGTTTGGGCGCTTCTTACAAGCATTAAACCTTTGATTAAGTTTCTTAAGCTTGGTCGCCGATGTGTGATGTGATTCATGTTTTAAATTTATGATTCTAAATAAATCTGTAGTTGCATAGTAAACGTTGTGATACGTATGAGTCGATCCACTGGAGATGGAGACGATACAATATAATTTTGATTAGAGTAAACTACGGCTACTTAAGGAAAAAAAAATTAAGATGATTGTCCCGGAAAATAAGAATGCATGAAGCAAATAAAAAGCAATAAAACAAATATTGGGTGGGTGTTCAAGGAATTTTCTAAGGATCATGAATTGTTTTCGTTCAGAGAATAAAACAATAATAATCAACTAGATAAGCTGTAGAACTCGAATCATAACGTGTGTCAGGTTTTACTTTGATGACACTATGATTTTATGCAAGTGCACATCGATCAATTGTACTTCTTCTGTTTCTAAATAATTGATGTTCTGGAATTTCTTTTTTTTAATA